GGGGGCTGCCACCGCTGGTGGTGACTGAAGCAGGTCTTGGCTCGGTGGGCTTGACTGGGAGGCATGGGGACTGGACCTGGCTCAGTGGAAGGCTCCTGGCTGTGGAGCAGGGTCAGCTTCCCTCTCAGGGACAGGAGGGTTTGTCCCTCTGTGAGCCTAAACCAGGCTGAAGCCTGGAAGGGTGTGGGTCTGCCTCTCATTGGATGAGGCAGGGTTCCCTGCTGCTCCCTCTGTACAGCCTGGGAGCTCTCCTTGTGGGGTGCCTTCTCTTCCCTTTCCTTGACCTCAGTGAAGTTCCCAGCCCCTCCCATGTTGGGAAGTGGCCCATGTGTGAACCAGAGAGCCTTCCTTAGGTCAGACCCCTGGAGTCTTGCTGCAAGCCTGCCTGCAGCCTTGAGAGTGAACTCCTTTGGGGGTGGCTGTTCTTCCTTCTGGAAGAAGTGCTATTAAAGACTTTGCCTGATTGATATTCTACTGTAGACTCTGTGTTAAGTTGTTCTTTGCTTTTTGCTGCTGTTCCTACCCAGCCCTCTCTTCCTGGACACTTCTGGGATCTGGTGGCAGGACCCACCATCCCTGGCAGCAGTGGAGGAGTCCTGGGATGTGGCAGAGATGGCAGCTCTGCAGAAGGCTGTAGGGGAAGACTCGGACCTGAGCCGCCTGGAGGGGGACAGTGCGGAGGAGCTGGGTGTGCAGGACCCAGTGAGTGTTTGGCTAAATGTGAAATTAGTTTTCCCAGTTTCTCTAAGAAAATGGAAAACTTTCTACTGCTCTGCTCAACCAATCCCCAAAGTTAAGAATAAGAGTAATCTTGGGGCCCCCATTGTTAAGTTGAGAAGATGGAAACTGAATTGTCACTCTCCAGCTGCTGAGCTTTCCCCACTGAGCAGTTTGTGTGCCTGAGCTTAAGTAAATGGCTCCTGTTCATCACCAGTTTAAATCTCCAGTTCCTTCTGGCTGTTTCAGTGCTGCTTGGGGCACCTCTACTCCAGCAAATGCTGCTTCACAAGTAAATGCAAGAAAGGAAATGTTTTTTCATTTTTTTTCTCTCTAGCGGAGCTAGAAGCTGAACTCCCCTTTCACGAGGCAGGTTGTTGTCCCCAGCACCAGCCCCCCCCACCTTGCCCCCAGCCTGGCTGTGTGCTGGTGGTGAAGGTGCGTGCTGGTTTGCATTTCAGGAGTTGGAAGCCATCAAAGCCAGAGTGCGGGAGATGGAGAAAGAGGATGAGAGGCTGAAGGAGTTGCAGCTGGAAGCTGAGAGCCGCTTCATCATGAGCTCGGAGGCAGGTATGGGCTTTCCCTGGGTGCTGCTGTCTCTCCACCAGGGACACCTCTGGGGGCAGAGGGTGTCCATTAGAGTGGGAGTGTGCAGCTCTGTCTCTCTTGGCAGTCCCTGGTGTCCTGTCAGCTGCTGACTGGATGTGTGAGATCCCCCCCCAGGGATGGGGTCCTGAGCAGGACATGATGCTCATGCGGGTTATAACCATTCTTGCCTCCCACCTTCGCAGGCCAAAATTCAGTAAATTAATGAGTTTGGCAGCATCAGTTGCCCTGTGTCATTTTTTTGTGATGAGAAGCGAGACAAGGGGATGGAGGATGAGGCTGACAACAGGGAATTTGGGAATGCCTAAACCTGAACAGGAGTCTGGACATGGGGAGCTTGCAGTGTGTCAGGAGTGAGAGCTGGAAGCTGCTCGGTGGCAGCTGTGCAGAGAGGAGGCTGTGCAGGCAGCTATGCTCCCTCTGCGAGAGGGCTCCTACCTCTCCACCCACTGCTTCAGGGCAGCCCTTGTCTCTGCAGGTCTGTTCCCAAAGACGACAGAGGAGAAAATGGAGGTTGACCAGCGATCCATCTATGTGGGCAATGTAAGTGGGAAGCCACACATGCTGGTTGGAGTCCCTGGAACAGTCCCCAGCAGCAGCTCTTTGCCGGAGTGTGTTTGCCCCAGCTGGCTGGTTCCATCCCAAGCACTGTGCCTCTCCCCAGCCCAGATAAGGAATATGGTTTGAGTCTTACAGTTCAGCTTCTGCCCTGATCCCTAGCTGCTTGCAGTGTGTCAGCTACACAAAATACCCCCCAGAAGGGTGTGTGGGGTTGTCTCCTGGACTTGGGTTTCTAGGTCAAGTGATTCAGGTGATGCTTCCCTGGGTTTCAAACTCCCATTGTGTTGACATCCTGGAGGGCAAAAGTGATGCAGAGTCTTGATGACTCACACTTGGAAGAGTCCTATCTGGGTGAGTCCCTGTTGACCTTAGCTTGCTCATGAGCCTCAGGAGGCAGCAAGGCTGGAACTGTGAGCTGTGTTAGCTAAAGAGTTAGCCAGGCTCTGGACTTGGCTGTCTGGGCGGTGCCTTTCCTTGCAGGCACCTCCTCTTCCAAGTAGAGGCATCACCTGGCAGTGCAAATTAGGGCACAGTGGTGACACAAGTGTGTGGGTGAGGATTTCCCTGCTGTCAGGGGAAGGGATGGCTTGGCTTGTGCACAGACAGCTCAGCTTGGGGACTCCCCTTGCCCTGGAGAGCTGAGCCAGGGAGGCTGGTGCTGGCTGGGCAGGCGGAGGTGCTCAGCAGCGCTCAAGGGCCAGGACTGTTGCTGCAGGTGGACTATGGTGGGACTGCAGAGGAGCTGGAATCTCACTTCAACAGCTGTGGGCAGATCAACCGGGTGACCATCCTCTGTGACAAGTTCTCGGGACACCCCAAAGGGTCAGTGCTGTGCCAGGGGTTGGGGTGGGCTGGGGGTGTCTGAGGGCACTGTCTTGGGTCAGATCCTGCACTCCTTGCTTTGGGAACAGGCATGTGTCCTGCCTCACTCTGGGCTGTGGTTTTGAGGTTGTGGCTTTCAACCCTGCTGCTCTGCAAACAGCACTGCTGGCCTCAGAGGAGGAGGAGGTGGCTTCCTCCAAAGCTGCCAGCTTGCAGGGCTGCAGCTCTTGGTCTGAGACACAGCTAAAGCTTGGTTGGAAACCTCTGGTGCAGAGAAGGGGTTTGTGCTCCAAATTCTGCAGTGGGTTAGTGGGGTCAGTACAAGCTCTGGCACAGGGGCTTTCAAACTGAGGGCTCCTCATAGCTTGGCATCAGCCCTGTGCAATGTTGTAGGTCCTATAGAAATAGAGCTGCTATTCTGAGTTCCTGGAAAGCAGCATGTCCTGCCCTGTCTGCTGTGTGCAGACAGGGCAGGAATTTGTGCTGCCTGCACCTGAGTCCTGGGGGGGGTACTGGGGGCCTTGTGTCCTCTAGGAGAGGATGCTGTTGTCCCATGCCCTTCAATTTGGAGGAAGATCCCCAGCTAAAAGCTAGTGTGGTGGTTCATTCAGGTGTTGTGTGGAGGGGAAGAGCTTGACTTCCTTCCAGGCCATGTAAAAAGGTGCTCAGGAGTGTTAATCCATGGCCACTGCCCTCAGGGAGAAGGGAGCTCTGAATGCTGCTGCAGTTGGCGTTCTGCATGCTCCCTCCCCACCTTGGCCCTAAAACCAGAGCGTTGCCTAGGTCCAAACTGCTCCTGTTCTGTTAGCACAGGGCTGATCCTGTGTGCCCTGGCTGCTCTTCTCCTTCCGTTTCCCTGTGTGCTGCATTCACTGAGGTGCTCAGCACAGCTCCACAGCAGTGAGCAGTCCAGCCCCAGCGCTGTGAGCAGGCTCTGGTCCTGCAGGAGCAGCTTTGCTGATGGGGATCTGTCTGAACCATCTTGCACCTGCTGTGAGCCGGACCAGCTGGCTTGCAGGAGATTTGTGGCTTCTCTGGATGTGCAGGTGGATGGGGAGAGCTGGGGGCCGGGGTTGCTGACAGTCACTCTGCCAGAGTCCGACCATCCCACGGAGGAAAGGACCTGCCAGGCAGCTCGCAGTGGGGTGTCCCTGTGGCAGCACTCACCCCTTTCCCCTTGCAGGTATGCGTACATCGAGTTTGAAGAGAAGAGCTCTGTGAAGGCAGCAGTGGAGCTGGACGAGAGTGTGTTCAGAGGCCGTATCATTAAGGTAAGATGAGGGCCCTGGATGGTGTCTGTCTCTCCCAGCCCCAGTGGCACAAGCAGCCGTGCTGGTCCCTGGGGCTGGCAGCAATGGTGCAGCTGAGCTGGCTCTGCCTTCCAGGTGCTGCCCAAGAGAACCAACATGCCGGGCATCAGCAGCACTGACCGTGGGGGCTACCGGGGCCGCTTCCACCCCCGGGGAGGGCTCTCCCAGCGAGGAAGCTATTACGGAGGACAACGCTCACGGGTGCGAGGGAGGACATACAGGTGAGCAGCGATGGGGCCAAGTCTCAGGGTGCTGGGGATAGCTGCCCTGGCTTGTGCTGTGGAGGGCTCTGCAGCCTCCTGCCCTGGCGCAGGGAGGAGGAAGGGCCCTGGCAGGAATCTCCTCCTGGAGGCCTGTGCCAGATATGTCTCCTGCTGTCTTGCACTGTTAGCATCACCCACTGCGGGAGCCTGGCGGCTGGGTCCAGCTGGGCTCCCAGGCACCTCGCGGGCCTGTGAGCAGTTGAGATCGGAAAGGACAGAAGTGAGCAGCCAGCAATAGTGAGGCAGACAGGCACCCAGGGCGTGTGGCACCTGCAAGAGCCTGTCTGTGCTGCTGCCCCACCGTCCCTCATGTCCCCAGATGGGCCTGGAGCTGTTCTTTAGTGTGCCTCTGCTGCTTGTGTCCTCGCTGGTATCTGCGAGCTCGCTGTGGATTAACTTCACTGATGCCCTGGCCCCTTGTGGGCTGTGGGAGGAGGTTTAGGGGCAGCAGAAACATCTGTGAACTTGCTGCTGTCCTGCTGTCCCTGCCTTGCAAGGAAAGGGAGGGTGGTAGATGGGATCATGCTCTCAGCCCCACTGGCTGTTGGGGTCCTGGAGCCTTGCCCTGCAATCATTTAGCTTGGCTCGGGAGCAAAGCTGCCCTGCTCCCTCTCCCCCCGGAGATGGGGCTGGATGTGCTCCAGGCTCCTGTGGTCCCATGCAGGTGCACTGATTGGGCTAGATTCGGTTTGGGTTAGCTGGGATAGAAAGAGGAAGCTCTGCTCTTGGAGCAGTAGCTATGCTTTTTGGCAGCACTTGACTGCTGCTGTATCTGGTCTGAGATATGGTCCTGTGCTTTAGGATGCTTTTTGTTCTTGTCTAGGGGTCGGGCAAGAGTGCTGCCTTGGTATTTTCCATACTAAAAGGAGAACTGGACTACTGTGGTGGTGCCAACAAGACTGAAATGAAGAGATGGGATTGGAGAGATTAAAGAAAAAAATATGCCTGCCCAAGCCAAAAAAGATTAATTTTAAAATACCATCTGCCTGGCCCTTGAGGATTACTCACAAGGCAATCATGTGCTGTGCAGCTGGAGTGCCGAGCTGTTAAAGGGAAGACTATCTGTTCTACCTGCACTTTGGCCAGATCCCTGGCAGCCTCCTGGGGAGAGGGGGGCACCTTAGGCTTGCTTAAGAGATTTTTTTTAACAGCCTTTTCCTGGGAAGGAAAGAGCTTTCCCAGACCATCAGTTTGATCCCTCTCCCGTAGAAAAGGGCTGTACCTGAGGGTTTGGCCTTTAGGTGTCAGAAATGCCCTCTGTTCTGCAGCAAAGGAGGTCCAGCTGGCCCTATCCAGCTGCTCAGCCTGTGAGGCACCCTCTGCTTTGAGACCTGCTCTGGCAGCTAGTTCTGCAGGATCTGGATGCTGACTTCTCATGCCCGTAAGAAGATCCTAAAGATCTTTCCAAAGACTGTTTTCTTCCCGCAAAACAATGGAGTCTGGAGATGCAGCTGTAGATCTGGCTGCTGGTGAGCTTTTCCTGAATGGCAAAGACTTCCTCAGTGCTGTGTATTTCTGACCTTACTCTTAGAGGATTGAGTGAGACATTTTTGGGTCTATTTTTTAGCTTGCTGCTGCTGTTCCACATCTAAGATATTGGGGAGGGAAAAAGCATCCCTTGTTGCTTCTCTGGAAGCCTCTGTCTGCCTGCTGTGGTTACCCAAGACCTGGTTGTCAGCAACTCCTTTTGCCCCCTGCTTCTATTCAGAAGTGAAATTACCAGGATCAAGGGGTGCAACTAACATGTGTTGCTTCATTTCTAGCAGTAGCAGTGTTTCAAAATAGTCTCCACTGCTGTGAGTTTGACTCTGATCTTCCTCTTTACTCCTGTCACCATTCCTGGTCTGGATCCCTGTTTAGGGATCAGTGTAACCTCAGCTGAACTAGTGGGTCGGGATAAAGCACACAGGAGGAGCCTGATATTAGGGAACATGTGCTGCCTGGCAGTTGCCCTTGCTGCTGATCTTGTCTTTATGAGCTCTGAAACTGCTCATTTTTAAAGGAGAAATTTTGTGTTAAAAGAGGTGGGCTGGGAAAACCAGCAAACAGTGTTACTATGTTAAGTTCTGCATTAAAATAAATTTTATGTAATTCTCACACTAATCTTTTAGGATCCTTGTCTAGGATTCCTCTAACCCAGATGCAACAGATGCAACTATTGACTCCTAAAGCAGCTTTTCACAGCTCAAGGGACACTGCCAGACTAAAACACCTGCTGATTTTTTTTTTCCTTAAGTACCTCAGGGGGGTTTAAAGCTTGGTGCCTTAACTCTTCATGTGTTGATTTTTGCACTTTCAGCAGCTTGGACCATGCTGGTGAAGCTGGCCTTGCTTTCTTGATCCAAGCTACCCCTAGGCTCAAACTGTAAAATTGGCTTTTTCTAGGACTTTAAACTTCCCATTAGTGGGCTTTGTAAATTCTTGAGACTTATTTTTTTAACAAACTATTTTTGGGTGTCTGGACTACCCTGTAATGACTTGTGGAAGAGGAAATGCTGAACTCCAGTCTCCGCAAGTGAAAAGAGTGAACACTTTTATATGGAAATGTTTCAGAATAGCAATGTACAGCTGTGCCTTGTTTAGATGGTGGGAGAGGTTCAAACACTTTAATCTCCCATTATTTGACAGGTTGTTGTTGAGTAAATGTATTTAAGTTCTGTTTGAGAAGGTATTGTAAATGTCACTTATTTTTAAAATAAATGATCCTGCTGTGTGAACTTCATCTACAGTGAGACCACACTGGCTGTGAGCTGACACTGCACTGACCTGGCTTTCTCCAGGCTTCTTGTATCTTTTAGAGCTATGTAGCTTTTTAGTGGTTTTTTCTGTTTGTTTTTTAACTGATTAGGTACTGGAAGCATAGACTGCTGCCTCTTAGTGATGGAGTGTGCTAGGTTGCCCTTCTTTCGCACCAAGAGTGTATGCAGTGAGCTATTCCGAGGGGCTGCTTTGGCTTACAAATCTGGCAGAAGGTGTTTGGGCAGCTCCCTAAACACCTCAGGTGACAGGAGCAAGGCAGTGCAGGGCAGGAAAGAGCCCATGGAACAAGAGGTGTGTGAGAGGCACTGAGGAGCTGCTAGCACCTGTGGCCTGCTACCTCTGTTGAACTTGTAGTTACACGGCCTCCTATAGTATTAGTGTACTGCACAAGTGACTAAGAAGCTGGGACATGGATATGCTTTTCCAGTCAGCAGGTATTTATACAAAAATACAAAGCAATTGATTTGGTGGTCTTCAGTTAGAACAGCAGGGAGCTGCAGTGGGAGGAGATGCTAACAGATGAGTTTGGAATGAGTCAGGCAGCTGTGCAATCCTGATGTCTTAATCTCTTGGCATGGCTTTATCCCAACTGTGCTACCTGTGCTTCCCTGGCCTAGGCTTGCACTCTAAAAAGTGCAACTGGCTCTCTGAATGAGGTGCTAAGTGATAAGGGGAAGTATGAGTCACCTAAAAAAAAATCTTGCCCAAGAAGGCAAGATCATTGTGGGACTTGATCATGTTCAAGGTAGGGCTTTGAGACCAACTGTTTGCTCTGTCTGCCAGAGCTCTGAGTACATGAACAGGGGCTGCTTGTAAAGAAATCTGGAGCCTTTGGCTGACCTACGCACTGTTCCTTCTTTCCAAGAACAACTGGACCAACTACATAGAGATCTGAGTGGTCCTGGCTAAGAAAAAACAGGATGACCAAATATGTTTGAAGCAAGCACTGCTCAAACATTCCTATTGGAATGAACAGTCTGGAGCAGCAGCTAAGGGGGCTGGCAAGCAGCAGTATGACTACTTGTTGCTGATGTGTGCCTTCTACATTAGAAGAACTGCTCTGAAGCACCAGTGTTGCTGAGGAACAGTTGTTGCTATCTGCCTTTCAGCTGACTGAAATCTAGGTTGATCCCAATAATAATCTCTTAGCTATCTCTTGTGCAGCTGTCCTTGCTCTAATCATAAGCCCAGCAGGAACTGCTGTTACACAAAGCCCGGTTTCTGGAGAAACATTTGAGAGGTGCATAGGAGCACAGCTGCATGCATTTCTGTAGGGAACAAACCTCCTATCTGACATGGCTGACCTTTATTAAGCTGGCTCTTACATGCACCTGAAGGCAAAACCAAAGCTGAACAGTGACTTCTGTGCTATACTCTGGTTTGCTAGAGTAGAAATGCATGCAGACGTTGCAAGTGTCAAGTTTATTTTACACGGAATAAATTTAATATATTACACAGAAGGAAGACAATATATACATCACTTTGCAGGCATACTCCAGGGTATGTTCTCGCACTTCAAAGAGAATGGGCAGAGTCTTAGCACACCTGCATCATCATGGAGGTCACCATGTTATCAAAAGCTCTAGAGAAAGGAAGAACAGAATATTAAAGGAAGCAGGCAGTTCTGCACACCAGATCTCCTTTACAATACCAAAAATGCCTATCACTCTCTAACAAGTTGGCTTTCCCAGGGCTGAATGTGTGGTTTCACTCTTTATCTGTAACATGCTGCATGAGTAAACAATGACTTTTCTATTAAGCTGAACTAAGCACAGGTCTTATCCTTGCCTCAGCAAAGTGTACAATAAGTTGTTTTTGCCTAGGCAGTAGAAACTCTCAACGTTACAAAAACTCACTATGGGATTCCAGATGAGAAATGGGGGGGGCAGCAGTCCTCAAACATTAGGATATATGCATGTTGAAGGGCTGATCAGTTCTTACTCAAGGATAAACTTGGGAGAACTGCTGCTGGTCATTTAACCTGGTCTATTTACCTATGTTTCAGTAAAACAGAAAGCTGTTTTTGTCTCTTAATTTTCTTGAGTCGATGTTTCTAATTCCAGTTTTGAGGTGAGAGTGAGGGACAGTTCAGTGTCGCTTCTAATGAGAATAGCAGAGAGTTTTCCATTTTGCAGTAATGGCCCAAAGAGAACACAGCTGTTCTCCTTTTGAGAAGTTACAGCACCCACATCTGCACTGGTCAAGCACTGGGGTTACATTCTTGGTCCTACTACATCATAGGTGCCCTGCAAGTCCCCAAAAGATAACAAAGCTCAGAAAGATTGAGTGGTCAGCCTACTTACCTGGAATGGATACGGTCCCCAGGGTTATAAAAAGGGTTACACATTATATCTGTATATGAATTATGCAGCTTTCGGAACATCTGAAAAGGGATTGTAGTTTAATTAATTTTTTTTTTCTCAGCACTTTGTGAATAAGTGGAAGTAGCAAAAATACTGATGTGGCTAGTTGCATTCTGATTTCCTGCACTTACACTGCGGATCTCATTGTCTCGAAGTGCCGTGTTTGAAGAATCCACCACCATAACAAACTTCACCTTGGAATTTGTCACGTAGCCGTATCTGTGCAGCTGTTAAGGACTGTGCTTCTGCATACTAGAGACTGGAAAAGCAACTAAAATAAGTCTGGAATACAGTCAAAGAAACAAGCTGAGAGGAAATGCCATGTTTGTACCGTACCCAGCACATAACTAGGACTAGATAAGGTAAGCAAGACCCTAGACTGCAAGAACTGCACTCCCCTTTTTACTTTACTTCTGCCATCTTTGCTAACTCACTTTCTCAGGCACAGCTAGGATTAAGTCAGGTCTAATTTAAAGCAAAAAGAGTTGAGTTTGCTCCCATACTGGCCAGTAATGCACCCGCTGTAATTTCAGAAGGAGCCTCTCACTAGCTGTTTTGTTAATAGTTTATCTGTTCTTAAGAACTGTTTCAGTGACACACCCTTCTTGTTATTTACTCTTACTTGGGTGACCACAGAAACCCAGAGATCATCTAATACCAGCCAGTGTGATCTGGAACTTCAAAAATTAACAGCCACTTTATGAAAACTCAAAAATCAGGTCTGTAACAGCAGATATCTTCCATCCATGGGATTCAGTGAGAGACAAAAAGCCAAAGAAGGTTTAAAAGATCAACTTTGTGACTTAAAAACAATGAGACAGCTGTGGCCCTGGACTACTGGTTTTAGAGAAACTGGGCTAGACACATGGGATTTAGACGCCTATGGAGTTGACCCACAGATGCCTTCATACTCCTGCTACTCTCACTAGTGTTAGTAGAAGAGTCTAAGCTCTGTTTTACTCATAGTCAGTTTTAACTAAGCAGAGCATAAAGAATGAAACGTGAAGTCTAGATGAACCAAGCAATGCAATTCCTTGCATAGGCCAGAAGAACACAGAGGCTGAGGATAAATTTTTTTCACTGCTACCTGGGCAGTGAAGCAGCTGCTGAACAAGGTGACAAACCCGAACCTCTACACAACAAACTGCTCAGTGAACGAGTCTTGTCTATTTTGCGCTGATGTTTTTAATGTGACATTAAAATAGGAAGACAAGTTCCCCCTGTTGAGCCCTTTGCAGTAAAGGCCACATAAATATATGTTTGCTGGCCTGGGCATAGTCTTGTTGAATGTTGGATGTCAATATCTGCCTAATGACAGTTATGCTAGGTAAAAAGAGGTCACCACCTGAAGCCAAGGCTTTAAAACAAAGCAAAGCGAGTTCTAGCAATGCAGGCAGAAGATATCAAGCTCTTTAAAACAGCATAGTTCCACTGACTCCAGGGCAGTGCCAATCAGATTGACATAAACCAGTCAAGGGAAGACTCATGGTAATTTGTATCATTTTTATAGCAACTGGCAAAATTAATCATTATTTCACCTTAGTTTACATAAACCATAAAGAGGCACAATATTTTGTTTCACACTTATTTTCTTTTTTCTGCGGCTTTAGCCACTATAGCATGTTAGCTGAAACCAACTCTTTTCATTGAATTTTTCATAATAGTTAAAAGTATCTCCCTTGGTCTCAGCCTTTTCTCACAAGTTTGTTTTCAAACACATTCTCTTTCTCTCTGAGGCTGCTACAGCCAACTGTGCAGGCCACTGAGCTAGGAAATGAACACGACTGATGCCACTCGCTTGTCTACTAAAGACAAAAAGGTCGTTTTGGCCCCCTTTGTTACCTTTGATAATGCTAAATAAAACACTGATACATGCTAGAAGTGGAGCCCCACTGAACATAAAAGCCTAGTTCTCAATTCCTTAGTTTAAGAACTGAACTGGAAGTTGGAGACAAGAAAGAAGGCACGACTACAAGGGGAGCGTGCCACTCAGGCACTGGAAAGATACACTTTGTAGTCTTCTGTTGGGTAGAGGAGCCCTAGGTACAGCTCCCTCTGATCTACAAGAGCCTTGCCCATCGCAGAGATCTTTTCATCCACAACGTCGAGGGAAGTGTGCACAGTATAGTGGAACTTCAGCTCATTTTCGGTCGGAACGCTTCGGATGTACAAGGGATAGTTCTGTGGAGGATGACAACTGTTAACTGGGACGGGAAACTCATTTCTGTAAGTGATGGCTAGTGCCGCTTCAGTGCTTTTACGCCAAGTATTGCAACCGTCAGAAGTAAGCTATTTTGAGCATGTTATGTTCAAAGGCATCACAGCAGTGGCCCCCCCCTTTACATCTTGCAGCATCTGTGGGACAGAACTGGCTCCGTGCACCAGTGGCAGCAGAACCGCTTGCACAGGCATCGCACAAGGTTCAGGGCTCCTCACAGCCTGGGTGCAGTCCCCTGCCCCAGCCGGGCCTGTCCCCAGCCCACCGGACCCTCCCAGGCTTTCCGAGGAAAGCCCTCTAATCACAGCAGGTCAGCAGGACATTGCTGCTGCTGTCCCCG